ATATTCAATAATGCCCTGTCTTTCTTTATTCTGCTCTTAAACTTTAATTCCAGGCAAACAATTCGTTTAATGTCTATATATAATTCTGAGAAATTACCGCAGCTATGCAAAATGCAAAAAACCACCTTCCATTCAACGATTTGCATTAGTTCCTATGGGACTGAAGAGCTTTCAATAGGTCCATTTTTAATGAAGTAGTCAGTGGGAAATGCAGCTTCTCTTGCAGGAGGGAAAACCCTATAATTGTAGCCTGCTCGGTTACTGGAAACACGGTGTATTTATGGCAGGTGGTATGGTACAAGTGCCTTATTTCTTCAGCAACTATGACTGAACCCAAAGAAAGAAAAAAAGAAATGCCTGTGCATCTTTTACTGCCTTCAAGGGTCACCAGGCTACTGATAATCAGTTGATTACTACACATTTTTTTACAGAGCACAGTGAACCCTAACCAACCAAATGAAACATGCCAAGAAAATACCGATCAGAAAGGAGTCACCCTCATGAAGGGCACTTTATTCCTACTGCTCCTGCCTTCTCCCTATTGCTATGGCTTCAGCAGGACTGGAAGTGACAAGGGGAGGAGGTGTAAAGGAGAAAGTTTCTTCTATTTTGTATTCCTGAATTTCCCTGCCTTTGGCATGACAAGCCTTACATTCAGCATTTCTGCAACTTAAACTGCACACTTCTGAGCTGTACTCCTTCCTGCCTCTTGCTGCCATCAGGCAGAATTCAGTTTGAAAATACTTCCCAATTCTTAAATGGAGAGGTAAACTACAGGATGGATTCTTTTGTTTGTTTGGTTTGTTTTTTTTTTTTAATGGAGGTAAACTGGAGTACAGTTTGTTGGGGGTTTTTTGTTTTGTTTCAGTTTTGTTATTTTTTTTTTGGAGTGGAATACTCCTAGCTTGCTTTGTGTGAGGTTGGATGACTACCTGTCCTGAAATACACCTGTCCTCAGATCTCACACTAACAACTTCAGGGTTTATCCTGGATTTAGGTGATTTTAAGACATTTGGTAAAGCTGATCCATTTCCCAGAGATGAAACACAGAGAGAAAATAGAGCTGGTGGAAAAGTTATGACAGAAAGATTTTTCCCCCAAAAAAAATTACTTAGAACAATTAAACATTGTTCCTAAATGTAGAGTAAAATCTGTAAGTAGTAAGAAATTGATAAAAGCAAAAAAAAGACCTTTAAAAAATCCTTCAGGGTGTTTTGAATCCCTCCCAGAGGAGAACTGTACTCCTGTAGTATGCGGTAAATAATAATGAAATCCCAGTTGACTTCAGCTTTGGCTCTGTATCAGCAAAGAATACATGATAGGACATCCCCCCTCCCCTCCAATTCTGCAATGAGCCACGCACAGGTTTTGGTTCTGTGTCTGTTAAAAGGTTTTTCACACTGGACTTGAGCCTAACATGTCTTGGGCTAAATTTTAAGTGCTAAGAGTAGACTTTACTCCTTTGCCTTTGATATGCTAAATCTGTGAATAGGAAAATATGCAGTTTTTCCTCCCTTTCCTTCTCTGAAGAATCAGCAAAGACATTGTCACCGACTTTCCAGAAAACAAGAGAGCCCTATGTATGGATATGAGGATTTGCACTAAAGCATCTATTTGTTATCAATTTGTAAATTAATAAATCTTTACAACGATTTTTCTAAAGAACAATGTCTTAGAAATGTTTATGATATGAAACCCTAAATTACTGTCTGTTGTGGTTTGGCAAGAAAAAGATGTTTTGTAATTTTTCATTGTTTAAGTTTTATCTATGAATCAAATTTGTCACTAGCATAAGAAATGTGCGTATGACTTCGTTGTCTTCAATGCAGTAGCATCTGTTTAGGTTATCAGCTAATTTAGGAGCCTGAAGTTAGAAATCAAAAGCTGGGTAGGCACCTGACTGAAGCAATCTTGCTCTCAAATGCTGAACGTGTGTTGCTTTCATTTATAGCAGGAAAGGGATCAGCAAAGGTAATAACAGATAATTCTTCTATTTAGGAATACAAATAGCTTCAAAGTTTGGCCCCTTATTACAAGAAATACAAAATAGACAAAATTCCTTTCAAAATAGATAAAACTATTTCTTCAAGGTTGTTCAGATAAAGAACTCTAACCTGTACATTTTCCTCTTCAGACTATGAATATCAGATTCAGAGATGAAGCTACCATAATCCTTTGGAAAAATAATAAAATATTGCAACCTTAAGACAATTAATAATCAACACACAAAACCCCTGAAAGGCCATGTTGATTTTGTTTTAAATAAGGAAGCACCTAAGTGACCATGCTCGCACAAAAATTTGGGATTAAAGTTAGTCAGCATTTGTCCATGTTCCCACCTTGAGTCCAAAGAAAATTTACATGTGACTGATTTTCCTCCTTGCAACTCCCTATACAATATAACTTGTGCTATGTTCTAATAATATATCAAAATATTTTATATCTATATATAGATATAAAATATCAAAAAACCCTGTGAATTAGTGAGGTACTTCTCTATATTTACAACAAGAAGTGGTTTTGGGACCCTTTAGAATTCCAGGTGTAAATAGGAAGAAGTCATTGCAAGGTCAAGATTTTTTAATCTTTCAGAATACAGCAAATTAATTATTTGCAAATCTTGGTTTATTATTTCATCTCCCGTTTTACAATGCAAATTCAAAAGTAAACTTCTGTGTTCAAGAAAATGAATGCTTAGAATTTATACAGTGCTTCATCAATCCAATAAAGCATGTGTAAGCATGTCAGTCCTCCTACAAACCCTGCTCTCTTAGGATATTAAAGGATTGCAAGACTGGGATATTTAAGTGATTCAGCAGAATGACCTAATCCACTGCTAAAGATGAGCCATGTTTTTACCTCTTCTGTGTTTTCCAAGCTACATATATACTGACTTCACTGGGACAAGCTGTGCTCCACACTCAGCACATAGTGAAACCTCATTTATAGTAAGGAAATGAAATCAGATACGTTGACATTTGTGGAACCACTTTGGACTTACACCAGCACACCTAAACTCAGAGCTGTCCTTCCATCTACAGGTAGCTCTACCTCTGGTGCTGCAAGGAGCCCACAAACATATACAACATCCAGCTGCATGTTTCCTGACAATTTGTAGGTGTAGCCTTGCTGAACAGACAGACAGGTTGTCTTGGGGTGCACCTTGGGGTGTCTTGAGTGCACCCCACAGGGGCAGGTCCTTTCCATGAAACCTCAAAGCAGAAAATGAGCACTCACAAAGTCTTGAAGAGCAGAAAATTAACTTTCTATAAGGGTCCTGGTATTATGCAGGTGCTTTTGCAAATATAAAAAGCGAGGAGAAGATGTGTTCCTCAGTGATGGCA